ATGTGGCATTGATGGGCACTGGTAGGCACTGGTATGTGGCATTGATGGGCACTGGTGGGCACTGGTATGTTTCATTGATGGGCACTGGTAGGCACTGGTATGTGGCATTGATGGGCACTGGTAGGCACTGGTATGTGGCATTGATGGGCACTGGTAGGCACTGGTATGTGACATTGATAGGCACTGATATGTGGCATTGATGGGCACTGGTAGGCACTGATATGTGGCATTGATGGGCACTGACAGGGCTACACTGATCATCAGTGCCCTGATGATCAGTGTAGATGTCCCCTCTGAGGAATGCTGATTACCGGCTCTCCTCTCCTCTGTCAGCGTGACAGCTTGTGAGGAGAGAAATGTCGATAACCGGTATTTCCTTATATACATGCGATCACCTGTGATTGGACACAGCTGATCACACGACAGAGCCGACGTCATCAGCCCTTTTCATTGATCGGTGATCCGATGTGTCTCAGGGACACAGCGCACCGCCAATCGCCGCGCTGCACGCCACGCCCCCAGGGGGTTCTCCCCTGGGGGCGTGGTTAGAGTGGGAGGACATCATATGACATCCTCCCAGAACGAGAGAACCACCGCCCTCCCGTAATTTCCTTAGATGGCGGGCGGGGAGGCGGTTAAAGCAGAATTTAACACTGAATTTAAAGACTTGCAAGCAGAAAGGATTTTCTCTGCAGAAGGAACATACTTTGTTTCTTCTACAAAAAAGGATGAATTCATACCTTCCTCCCCACAAGATGCTTTAGAAGGTGCACTGAGCTGCGCATGCACACGGGAGTTGCGCCGCCCTGGCCCAGTTAATCAAGGTGGCCGGGGAGAAGATGCCAGCAGTGGAGCTCATAGAAGTCGCATTGCTAGAGGAGAGATGAGTATTGGAGGCTTTGGTTCCATTTTCATAGGAACACCCTTCTGGTTTTTCCTCTCAGTAGCTGAAATCTAGAAGCCTGGTGACACCATAGAGGACAATAAAAGCGGTTTTCCACCACAGCTAGAAAAAAATGAATTCTGGGGCATGCTCTGGAGGTAGAGGAGGTTTGGTGGGAAATTTGGGTCATGCCCATACAAATGCTTCAACGTGTTTGAGAAGACTCCGCATTCCCTTTTGGCACTTTCAGTAAGTGCCACATTTCTCAGGTCAATAAACTCCAAGACTCTGTGGTTTTGACAGCTGTGTAAACCTATAGAGCAGACAGATGCAGTGCCAGCAGCAGAGGTATTGACAGCAGTGTATTTAAAGGGCAAGAAGTGGGTTTAGTCACCAGAGTATTTGCTCACCCAGATTCTGAATACACAGACTGCAACCCCACCTCCCACTGAATTCTGCACTGCGGCTAAAACGGAACTCTACCCCAGCACCTTAAAGTGTTCCTAAACCCACAACAGTGTCTGTATAAACAGTGAAGCATGCTTGTTATACTCACTGTGAAACTAAGGGGTTAATCCTCTGCATTGTGTAAAAAGGCCATTTGATCCTGGCTTCTCTGCCCCTCCTCTTGTTCAAAAGTCCACCTGATAAGCCAGACAGAACCCTTAGCCGCATGCTCAGTTTAGTGTGTATAGCTAGAGAGGTTTTTTTTTTTTTTTTCTTGGGAGCGTGCATGTGATCAGCACAGTGCCTATCGGCACTGTCCAGACAGAGGTCAGGGGTTTTGCATCCTCCTAGAGCAGAAAGAAAACTCATCCTACAAACTATACGTGTATGTAAACCCTCACCTTGTAAAATGTCAAAATTAGAAATGAAAGGCAAAATATTTGTGTATACATATTAAAAGAAAAAAATGTACATGAATACCTTGTTTGTTTTTTATCACATTCCCTCTATTCTCAGCCGCATCAGAGCTGGGGGAGGAAAAACTACAGAACACTGATCTTCCCAGTGAATGGCTGTGCGGGGGGGGGGGGGGGCTGTTCATTGAAGGAGTTCCCAACAGAGCTAGAGAACTGACCACGGTGTGTTTTTCTGCTTGGTGTGGTTGGTTTTTAACCAGTTCCTGACCGCGCTGTAGCTGAAAGACAGCTCAGTTCTCCAGTTCTGGGAGGGTGTCCATGGATGTCTACCCAAAACCCCACCTCCTGGGGGTGCTCATCAAGCGTGCTGTGTCCTTTGGACACAGCTGATCACAAGTCGCAGTAAAGGGCCAATCACAGCTGATCACAGGTGCACAGGTTCTCAGCAGCATCAGAGCTGGGGGAGGAGAAACTGCAGCACACTGATCTTCTCAATAAATGGCTGTGCAGGGGGGGCTGTTCAGTTCAAGTCTGATCATTGGAGGAGTTACCAACACAGCTAGAAAACTGACCACGGTGTGTTTTTCTGCTTAGTGTGGTTGATTTTTAACCAGTTCCTGACTGCGCTGTAGTCGAAAGACAGCTCAGTTCTCCAGTTCTGGGAGGGTGTCCATGGATGTCCTCCCAAAACCCCACCTCCTGGGGCTGTTCATCAGGCGCGCTGTGTCCTTTGGACACAGCTGATCACAAGTCGCAGTAAAGGGCCAATCACAGCTGATCACCGGTACACAGATTTGCCGGTTATCGGCAGTCCTTTGCTCACACGCTGTGTCTGTGTGAGGGAAGGAGAGCTGATAACCAACAAGGCTGTTTAACCTGGTAGTGAAGGCACTGATCATCCATCAACGCAAGCCTTCTTGGCGGGCCGTCGGCGCAAGCCTCATCAGTGCATATCTGTGAACAAGAAAAATTACTTATTTGCAAAAATTTTATAAAAGAAACTGAGAAACTTTTTTTTTTCCAAAATGTTTAGTCTTTTTGTTTGTTTAGCAAAAAAATAAAAAAAACCAGTGGTGGTTAAATACCACCAAAATAAAGTTCTTTTTAAAAAAAAAAAAAAAAAAATATATAATATATATATATATATATATATATATATATAAATAAAATGTAATTTGGATACAGTGTTGCATGATCGCGCAATAGTCCTTGAAAGCTGAAAATTGGCCTGGGAAGGGGGTGAGAGTGTCCAGTATTGAAGTGGTTAATCGGCTCCTCATTTTTCAAATACTTTCTTGCGTTTTAATTAGACAGTAGTGCTTTAAGTTGTGTTTATATAACCACATGATGAAATAACCCCTTGATGCTTGTTGGCTCTGGGAGTGTTGTAGGCTTGCTCAGAAGACTGTAAAAGCGAATATGTTTTTCAGAACGATCACCAATAAAAGGGCAGTTCAGGCCGTACAGTCGTAAAAAGGAAGACGGGGACGCTCTACGGCTACCGAACTTGCGTGACCATCACTCTGACAAGCCATTTTATAGAAATATATAAAGCTCCATGTTTGACCTGTCTTGTCATGGCTGACAGTCTGGCATCATGCGCCTCTTGGCCTTTATCGGCTTGTTTACTCAGAATTAGTGGTTGACACACCAGAAAATAGAAGAGGTGGAAGGGTGGTGTTGTGTTGTGAAATGGGATCCACCCTTATAAAATATATTTATTTGTTCTGAAGACACAGTTCATTGGAAAGATAATATACGGTGCTTGTTTCTTTGTTTTTGTTTTGTTTTTTTTGTGCTATTCCCAATAGTAGTGGTTTCATAGTATGTAGTGAAATGGTTTTTTGTGTTTTCTTTTCTTTTTTTTTTTTAAATATATAGTTTCTTTGTGAAAAGGTTGAAGGTTTTGGTAACCTTTTGATATTGCACGTGTGTTTTCTAAAATCATGATCTGATTTTAAAGTGGAATTTAAACTGCAACCCCCAAACCCCCCCCCCCCAATGCCTGAGCCCCATCCCGATCCAGCGATGTGCACGAGAGCAACTGCTTTTCCAGCTCTCTACCTCCTCATTGGCTCAGATACAGCAACAGCAGCCATTGGCTCCAGCTGCTGTCAGTCAAAGCCAGTAAAGCGGGGCCGAGCCCCAGTCTGTGTCTTATGGACACACAAGGCAGGGTTTAGGAGCGAGCACACATGAGTGCCTCCATAGCAAGTGGCTTGCTATGGGGCATTCGGTGTGGGAGCCTAGAGCACCGACGGCAACCGGAGAAGAGGAGGATTGGGGCTGCTCTGTGCAAAACCATTACACAGAGCAGGTAAGTATAACCTGTTGTTTAAAAAAAAAAAAAAAAAAAAAAGCCTTTACTACCAGGCTCCATTCACATCTAGACATTTTGCAATTCTGCCTATCATCCCAAAATGTTTTGCGAAACCGACAAATTGCACCGTGCTTGGTTGGGTTAAATGGCACGTAAATGCACGTGCGATTGTGCCATGATAGATGGCGGCAAACTGCATTGTGCGAATCTTGCTCCTTTTTGATCGTCAAGCTTCATGCAATGCAGTTTGCTCCGATTGCAGCGAGATTTAGGTACCATGGAAAATGAATGGCACTTGAACCTGACACTGTGTGTGTGTCTATGGATCGCCACTCCATAGACACAGGTCAGAGCAAGCATGTAGCATTTGTCCCCATAGCAAACTGCTTGCTATAGGGACACACAAAGAAGAGGAGGAGCCAAGTTTGCCTTCGGAGGATCTGAGAAGAGGAGGTTCAGGGCCACTTTTTGCAATACCACTGCACAGAGCAGGTGAGTATACCATGTTCGTTATTTTAATAAAAAAAAAAAATTCTGCCTTTGGTAACCCTGTAAGTGTGGATGATGTAGCACGGGCAGCCTGTCAGTCGGTGTGTTGAGCTCCTGCACATGCATGGTTCCTCCTTTGCACATGTGCAGTTCTTTTTTGTGCACTGACTCCCTGGACAGCTGGTAAATTCATGAGAATTGAATAATTCCTGCCAGGCAGGAGTGGCTTTTGAAAGACGTCAACGGCCAAGAAGGGGGTGAGTGAAGAGTCAATCTTTTGACTTTTGAGTGAAGTCAAAATTTGCATATGTCTTCATAGACTGAAAATTCTAGCTACAAGCAACAGGATCTAGTGCAGTTTAAATGATGGTTTTCTACCCTAATATTTCAGTAACAACTAGTTTCTGCTGTCAGTACAGATGAATGTGTTTCTAAACCCCGGACCCTGCATTTACTATATCTGGTCTCCCCGGACCCTGCATTCACTATATCTGGTCTCCCCGGACCCTGCATTTACTATATCTGGTCTCCCCGGACCCTGCATTTACTATATCTGGTCTCCCCAGACCCTGCATTTACTATATCTGGTCTCCCCGGACCCTGCATTTACTATATCTGGTCTCCCCGGACCCTGCATTTACTATATCTGGTCTCCCCGGACCCTGCATTTACTATATCTGGTCTCCCCGGACCCTGCATTTACTATATCTGGTCTCCCCGGACCCTGCATTCACTATATACGCTCTCCCCGGACCATGCATTCACTATATATGCTCTCCCTGGACCCTGCATTCACTATATCTGCTCTCCCTGGACCCTGCATTCACTATATCTGCTCTCCCCGGACCCTGCATTCACTATATCCAGTCTCCTTGGACCCTGCATTCACTATATCCGCTTTCCCAGGACCCTGCATTCACTGTATCCGGTCTCCCCGGACAATGCATTCACTGTATCCGGTCTCCCCGGACCCTGCATTCACTGTATCCGGTCTCCCCGGACCCTGCATTCACTGTATCCGGTCTCCCCGGACCCTGCATTCACTATATCCGGTCTCCCCGGACCCTGCATTCACTGTATCTGGTCTCCCCGGACCCTGCATTCACTGTATCTGGTCTCCCCGGACCCTGCATTCACTGTATCTGGTCTCCCCGGACCCTGCATTCACTATATCCGGTCTCCCCGGACCCTGCATTCACTATATCCGGTCTCCCCGGACCCTGCATTCACTATATCTGGTCTCCCACAGTACACACATCATGGAAGTGCAATTATTTTAGTAAATATAAACTGCTAAATACCTTTTCTCATCAGCAGTATATAGCAGTCTTGTGACTTCAGCTGAGCACTGGTAAAAGCTTGTAGGAGGAGTTTTCTCTAGGAGAATGGATATCTGCTGATCTTTGTCTGGACAGTGCTGATTGGCCCTGTGCTGATCACTTGCACTCTCCCAACAGGGAAAAAAAAAAAGCTCTCTAGCAATACACACTAAACTGAGCATGTGCAGAAGGGCACAGTTATTCTGTCTTATCAGCTTGGGCATTTGAACAAGAGGAGGATCAGAGAAGACAGGATCAAACAGCCTTTTTACACAATGCAGAGGATTAACCCCTCAGGTTCCACAGTGAGTATAACAAGCATGCTTTACTGCATCTACAGACTGTTGTGGGTTTAGTAACACTTTAATTTTGAGCAATCAAAATTTCAGCACTAAATTGACAGATATGGCCATACACAGGCAGAGTCTGTATGCTGTGGTCATTTGAAACTGATGAACTTTCAGGTGATTGAGGAGAAAGCCAGCATGATATTCTCATATGTGCCGACTGCACTGCCTTGATAGAGAATTCCTTGAGGAATTGCATACAACTGTCTGCGGTGAGAGTCCTGCCCAAATATTTGTTTCAGGCAACCTTGCAGTGACTCAGGATGAATTCTTGGCCAAGTTTTAGAGTCCCATGTCACCACGTTGGGTCATAGGTCACCTCTGAGATGTGTTCTCTTCCCTAGCAGGAAATATTATATAATTAAATTTCCCAAGTGCCTAGCTGGACCCTTTGTGTTGTCTCTTCCCATAATTGTTCACACAGCTTCCTACTCAGCAGTAACATTTACTCAATCGAATATTTTACCCCTATTGAAATGTACTTGTTTTTTATTCCTGCTCATAATGTTGAGCCATTTTTATGAGAATGTTCAATGCAAAACTCCACTTTTATACAAAAAAAAAAAGTCTGTAACATAACAGGTAAACACGCCATTTAGTAATGTAAAGTTAATTCTTTAAATTTTTTTCAATCTACAGCCTGATTTCCTAAAACTGCTCACGACTTTAAAAGTCTCCTTCCTACAGCCATTGAAACTCTGATATTGCTATGTACATGGTGTACATAACTTCCCCCAAAATCCCATTCTCTACATCTGCTATTGGCTGGTTGCTATTCAAAGAAGTCTGCACAGAGCTTAAAGTGATATTAACCACTTCCAGACCGGACACTTTCCCCCCCTTCCAGACCGGACACTTTCCCCCCCTTCCAGACCCGGACACTTTCCCCCCCTTCCAGACCGGACACTTTACCCCCCCTTCCAGACCGGACACTTTCCCCCCCTTCCAGACCGGACACTTTCCTTCCCCCCCTTCCAGACCGGACACTTTCCCCCCCTTCCAGACCGGACACTTTCCCCCCCTTCCAGACCGGACACTTTCCCCCCCTTCCAGTCCGGACACTTTCCCCCCCCTTCCAGACCGGACACTTTTCCCCCCCTTCCAGACCGGACACTTTCCCCCCCCTTCCAGACCGGACGGACACTTTCCCCCCCCTTCCAGACCAGGACACTTTTCCCCCCCCCCTTCCAGACCGGACACTTTCCCCCCCCCCTTCCAGACCGGACACTTTCTCCCCCCCCCTTCCAGACCGGACACTTTCCCCCCCCCTTCCAGACCGGACACTTTCCCCCCCCCTTCCAGACCGGAACACTTTCCCCCCCCCTTCCAGACCGGCACACTTTCCCCCCCCCTTCCAGACCGGTACACTTTCCCCCCCCCTTCCAGACCGAACACTTTCCTTTTCCCCCCCCCCCTTCCAGACCGGACACTTTCCCCCCCCCATTCCAGACCGGACACTACTTCCCCCCCCCTTCCAGACCGGACACTTTCCCCCCCCCTTCCAGACCGGAAGGTGAGACACTTTAGCCCTCCGCCCCCCCCTTCCAGACCGGCCGACACTTTCCCCCCCCCTTCCAGACCGGACCACTTTCCCCCCCCCCCTTCCAGACCGGACACTTTCCCCCCCCCTTCCAGACCGGACACTTTCCCTCCCCCCCCCTTCCAGACCGGACACTTTCCCCCCCCCTTCCAGAACCGGACACTTTCCCCCCCCCTTCCAGACCGACACTTTCCCCCCCCCTTCCAGACCGGACACTTTCCCCCCCCCTTCCAGACCGGACACTTTCCCGACCGACCCCCCCCCCTTCCAGACCGGACACTTTCCCCCCCCCCCTTCCAGACCGGACCACTTTCCCCCCCCCTTCCAGACCGGACACTTTTCCCCCCCCCCCTTCCAGACCGGACACTTTCCCCCCCCCTTCCAGACCGACACTTTCTTTCCCCCCCACCTTCCAGACCGGACACTTTCCCCCCCCTTCCAGACCGGACACTTTCCCCCCCCCTTCCAGACCCGGACACTTTCCCCCCCCCTTCCCAGACCGGACACTTTCCCACCCCCCCCCCTTCCAGACCGGACACTTTCCCCCCCCCTTCCAGAACCGGACACTTTCCCCCCCCCCCCCTTCCAGACCGGACACTTTCCCCCCCCCTTCCAGACCGGACACTTTCCCCCCCCCTTCCAGACCCGGACACTTTCCCCCCCCTTCCAGACCGGACACTTTCCCCCCCCCCTTCCAGACCGGACACTTTCCCCCCCCCCCTTATTCCAGACCGGACACTTTCCCCCCCCCCCTTCCAGACCGGACACTTTCCCCCCCCCCCTTCCAACCGGACACTTTCCCCCCCCCCTTCCAGACCGGACACTTTTCCCCCCCCCCTTTCTTCCAGACCGGACACTTTCCCCCCCCCCCCCCCTTCCAGACCGGACACTTTCCCCCCCCCTTCCAGACCGGACACTTCCCCCCCCCCCCCTTCCAGACCGGACACTTTCCCCCCCCCCCCCTTCCAGACCCGGAACACTTTCCCCCCCCCCTTCCAGACCGGACACTTTCCCCCCCCCCCTTCCAGACCGGACACTTTCCCCCCCTTCCAGTCCAGGGCAATTTTCAGCTTTTAGCGCTATCACAGTTTGAATGACAATTGCGCGGTCATGCAACACTGTACCCAAATGAATTTTTTACCATTTTTTTTTGAGACAGATAAAGCTTTATTTTGGTGGTATTTATTCACGTTCACCACTGGGATTTGTATTTTTTTTGCTATGTAAATGAAATGTCCAAAAATTTTGAAAAAAAGTGTGTTTTTTTTTTTTTATAAAAGTTTTGCAAATAAATAATATTTCATCATAAATCTTAGCCAAACTTTATTCCGTTATCTTTTTAGTAAAAAAAAAAAATCCAAATTAGTTATATAAGCAAAAATTATAATTTTTAAAACATTTTTTTACATTTTTATTTTATTTTTTTATATTTTTATTTTTATTTTTTACATACTGTCACCCTAGCAGTACAGTGTCACCATGGTGACACTGTACTACTTGTGGGGGGGTGATGAAGATTTTTTTTTTTTTTTTTTACACTGATTGCTTTTACACCCATATAGGATGTAAAAGCAATCATTTCTCTTTCTCTCTGTGTGCATTCTTGCACTCATTGAGAAGTACTGAGTGCGGTGCTGCGTGCTCCCAGGGAGTGCGCACAAGCTGGGTGCGGGGAGGCCGTTTATAGACGGCCACCCGACCCTGCACTGCCACCGTCCGGCCGTTTATATACAACGGCCGGACGGGAGGTGGTTAAAGGCAATTTAAAAAAAAGAAAATGGCGAACATGTTATACTTACCTGCTCTGTGCACAGAGCAACCCAGATCCTCTTCTTCTCTGTCCCCCAATGGCGCTCCTGGCCCCTCCCTTCTGCCGATTGCCCCCAGATCAAGCAGCTTGCTATGGGGGCACCCAAGCAGGCTTGCTCCTGAGACACTGCACTGCATGTCTATTCACACACACAAAGCCGTAGCTCAGCCCACTATCTCTCTGCTCATTGGCTCACTGGCTGGGATTGACCGCAGAGGCTCCTGCTGCTCTCTCAGCCAATCAGGATGGAGAGTCCCTGGAGAGCTGAGGCTCTCATGCACAAAATGGACCGTTTTATAGGGCTCAGGTGGATATTGAGGGGGGGGGGTTCTTTTAGGTCATGACCATAACAAGTTAAGTCTTCAAGAATTTTGTGGCCTTAGCTCCTTGTACTAAATTGGTGGGGAGAGCCCAAGACTGTCAGTCTGCCCTTGTGCTGGAGTTGTCTGAGGAGCTGTGGGTGGAGGTACCCACAGTTATTGCATCTACCAGTAGGATGATACAAATAAGTTAACTGCGTCAGATTTATTATACACCTCTATGGTTATTTCCCATGCAGCAAAGGGACTCAACATAATGTCATAAGTGCCAGTTATATGATGACATCATTATACACATAGTTTGGGAATGCCCAACGGTCAGTCCACTTTGGTCTCAGGTGATGAAGTTTATGGCAGACCATTTTGTTTTCCCAAACATTTTTAACCCCCTTTTTATGTCTGTTAGGTGCCATTGATGATGAGGAAATAAATAATGCTACAACATTGTCTTAGACTCCTCTTGTTCTATGCACGAAAATTGTTAGAAGATGGATACTCTAACTCTTGTTATGGGGAAAACATTGGTTAACTTGGACGTTCCTCCTTGTAGAATGCCGTACAGAGCACGAGGATGCCCTAAACAAATGTTCTGAAGTCTGGCTCCATTGGAAGCAGGGTTTCTCAAGTAGGGTTCCTCCAGAGGTTGTTAGAGGTTCTCACTGACACCATTAATCTTTTTAGCTATCTGTAAGTGGGTAATTCTTCCCAGTGACCACAAATATAAGGAGCATTCTTCCCACTGATCACCACACTAATGTACCATGAGTTGTAGATATAGTAATTTTTTGCAGGGGTGACCTGAGACTTATACCAAGGGTTCCTCTGTGTTGAGGCTAAGAGAGGCTGGTTGGGAAGATTCTCCAGCTACTCTGGAGGATGTCCCTGATGGTTGAGCACCCTATGGCATACTTGAGAAGGGTGGTGGGAAAAGGGTATGTGGCTCCCTTGTAAATGGTGCAAAGGATATAGGGCTACACTCCAATGGTTCTATGGTTTGAA